CTAGAACTGTTTTGAATCTAGAACTATTATTTGCAACAGAGTTGAGTTGAAGACTATTTGAACAAGGAATGCAAAGTGGTGTAAAGATTAGGATTTTTAAAGCATTTTTAAGATTAGGAAAAAGTGTTAAGTGCTATTACAATAATATTTAGGAGTAAAATAGGAGTAATAATAACCATTAAGATGTGATGTATGGCCTTTATTGATGGGACTATTGGTTAACTCTTTAGTAACTGAGTGGAGTTGGACTGGCTATTTTGCCAGCATGCTAGGCTCCGCTATGCTCTCCTGTTTGCGCAGATGCATTAGTTTCTTCTTCACAGCAAGGGAAAGTTGCAGTTTTGTCTCTTTGAAGGAAGAACATGAAATTTGGAGCCAGAAAGAGTTATTCAATCACAATATGATTAATTCTCTTTAATCTTTTACTATGTCCTTCAGTTTATTTTTACTGGCAAGATAAAAGTGAAACTGTTAGTATTGCCCTCAGAATTCTGTGTTGGTAGTTCTTAGTTCTGGATGCATGTTAATATAACACAAGGAACTTTTTAAAAATACCAAGGTTTAGGCATCTAAGTAGTATCTTTATTCTATTCTCATACCTTTTTGAGATATGTATGTGTTTAGAACTCTAAGAAAATACAAAGAATTATCTTTCTGATACAAAAGTATCCTAATATATTCTGATCAGTTTGACATTTTAACAATACTGAGTCTTTCATTTCATGAACATCGTGTATCTCTCCATTTACCTCTTTGATTTCTTTCATCAGTATTTTGTAGTTTTTAGCATACACAACTTGAACATATGTTTTTAAAAACATTTTAATCTATGTTTTTCATATTTTTGGTGCTATTGCATTTTAAATTATCTTTTGCTAGTTTATAGAATTAAAATTGGATTTTTATGTTGACCTTACTAAACCTTGCTAAAATTCCTTATTATGTGTTTATGGTAACTTCTATGGAATCTATTTTTGCAAATTCTTTGAGATCGTCTATACAGAACTTTTCATTTTTTGGTGTAGAATTTTCTTTTTGCATTTTCAATCTTTATGCCCTTTTCAGTCTTTTCTTGCCTTATTGTGCCAGCTGGGTTCTCCAGTGTGATGTTTTCTGAATGTAGTCATCCTTGGTTTGTTCTTGATCTGAGGGGAAAAGCACTTAATAGTCTTTCAACATTAAGAATGGTGTTAGCACCATTTGTTTGTTTTTTAAGATACTCGTGATCAGATTAAGTTCCCTTCTTTTCCTTCTGAGAGTAATTTCAGGAATGGTTGTTGAATTTTCTCATCTGTATTTATTCAGACTTTTTTAGTCTGTTAATATAGTGAATTGTATTGATTGATTTTCAAATGTCAAACCAGTGTTACATTTCTCAATTGTGATTTTTATCCTTTCTATATATTGCTACATTTGATTTGCTCACATTTGTTTAAGATCTTTGTGTCTATGTTCATGTAGGATACTGACTTGTTTTGCTATAATGTAGTTAGGCGTTTTGGTATTAAAATAATGTTGGCCTCATAAAAGAATCAGGATGTGTTCCCTCTTTTTCTATTCACTGAAAGAGTTAGTATAGAAATGCAATTATTTCTTCTTTAGATATTTAGAATTTGCAAGCACAGATGTGAATGAGGAGCTTCTTTTTTGGAAGGCTTGAAAAATAAAGATTCAGTTTCTGTAATGGATATGGACCTATTCAGGTTTTCTATTTCTTCTTGAGTGAGATTTATAGTTTGTGTTTTGTAAGGAGTAATTTGTGTCTATCTAGTTCATCCAAATTCTTAAGTTTTCAGATGTGAAGTTTTTCTAATATTTTCTTATTATTTCTGTAATGTTTATAGAACCCGTGGTGATATCCCTTCTTTCATTCTTGATATTGGTAATCTGTACCTTTTCTCTTTTTTTCTTAGTCAGTCTGGCTAGAGATTTATCAACATTATTGACTTAGTAAAAAAACCAGCCTTTGGTTTTATTGATTTTTCTCTGCTTATCTATTTTCAATTTCACTGACTTCTGTTCTGACTCATATTATTTTTTCCTTTTGCTGTTTTGAACTTAATTTGCTATTCTTTTTCTACTATATTAAGTTGGAAGCTTAGAATTATTGATTTGAGAACCTTCTTTTCTCTTATAGACATGTTTAATATTTATAAAGTGAAAAGTACCTACTTTTTCACTGCTTTCCTTTGGCGCCTACTTTCTACCTTTTGCAGGTAGTTTATACATATAGAAATAAAACATGAGAATATTATTTTTACTTTCCCCTTTTAAATGTAATTGCTCAATAGCATTCTAGGAATTTTGTATCATGCCTTGCTTTTTTTTTTTTAACCTTTGTAATCTATCTTGGATGTAACTCCTAATCTTTCACATACTATTTTTTATTCTTTTTATGATAGCATAAATAGCCAATCTTCTATTAATGGACATTTATGATGAGGCCTTTCAGCCTTGGTACTTTGACTGTTTTTTTTTCTTTTTATACACTTTATTATGGAAACTTTTATTATGGGAAACTATACATTGAAGTTGATGTATCTTAAATGTTTTTTAACCTGTAGATTTCTTCATCATGTTTCCCCCTTAAATCATTAGTCTTGTTCCTTATTTCTCTAGGATTCATTTTTTAAACAGTTTGTTTTGAGAAATTAAAAATACCTACAAAAAAAATCCATAAAATGAAGTATAGTTTAATGAGTTGTTATAAAGCAAATATCCCATAGAAGTCCTACAGAGGCTATTAAATAGCATGCTGTCTGCATCTAAGAAGCCCTTTATGTTGTCCATTCTATGTTATGACCTTCTGTGTTCCCCCATAGATAATCCATATCCTGCTTTTTATGGAAATCTCTCTTCTAAGGTTAATTTTTACTTTCCCCTGTGGAACTTTTCTGGATATTCTTGCATCATCAAATCTACATCTGCAGAAAATGTTTTGATCAAATTTACCTTAAAAAATGGCATCAGGTCTGCAGCAAGGCTGGACTCCACTGTTCGCAAGCACTTCCTCCTTGTTCTCGCTCTGCTGATCATCAGGCATGCTTACTCTCACTCTCGATGTCAGGAGTGTTTTCTTTTGCTGCTTCATGTTTTGGGCCATTTTACATAAGGGTAGAAGCTGCATTCATCAGAATTCTTAGTTGTAAGCAATAGAAACAATCTCTAGCTGATCTATTAAAGGGACACAGGTGTCCCACAGACTCTGAGAAGTGTGGGAAAGCAGGCTTGATGGCCACACTGCCAAGAACAAAGCTTGGACTCATTCCACAAAACCGGTCCCATGAAGACACTGCCACCTCCCTTGGTACAGGTATTGTTTATTGTGCCCCAGACACCACTGATGCTGGGCTCTGTCTCTGCTGCCTTAAGACACAGGATGTAACTGCTCCCTGCTGCCATCCATGCCATCCATGTGTGGATTCTTTGGAGTTCCTGCTTCTACAAGTTAATTATTTTCTATTTGAAATCTCGAGTGGGTGCATCTCAGGGGAGCTCATGCCATGTGCTCATGCCTCATTTTTGGAGAAAGATGGGAAAGCAAATATCTGAGGTTGTTTTCCTTTCTTCATACTTTGGTGGGGACAAGTATACTTGTCTTAAAAGCTCGGCAATGCTCGGTGTACACTGGCAGCTGGATGGTTGGTGGCCAAAAAGAAATGTCCACTGTAAATGTTCTGTGTCAGTCTTAGAAACCCTTTCCTTTCCATATAGTCGATACTTTTTATAGCCATTCATGTTGTTCATACAATGCAGTGACCTAAGAATATTCATTATATTGCCAGGTACCATATAAGATGGGGCATAGTATCTGCATTTCTGAAGAACTACATATTTTAAAAGCCCCATCCTAATTTTAGCTAATTGAGGAATTCCTGTTTTATCTTATGAATAAACTTATTGAGACGTAATAGTTAAATATTAGACTATAGCAAACATTTCCCAGTGATATTTTCACTTGAGAACCTTCTGTCTTATAAACCATTTGCCTTTTTTCAGCTGTGATCTTATTGTATACCAAGAAATTTTGGAAAATAGGATGCACCTTTTAGGACCATTAGTAAAGATAAATAGGATGACACTTGCTTTTCAAAATCAAGGTGATATAGTTCTCATCATTGCAAAGGTATTTTACTAAGTTCCTATGAAACTCTCTAAGCGCAAGCTTTATTAAATTAACACAAAAACCCATTGTTAATTTACGTATGATGACTTTAAAAACTGGCTGGTAAAGACTTCATCTCCCAAGAAACCAGAGCACAGTTGAATGGATGGAGCAGTGGACACGTTGGTCCAAAGGCCTTGTCAATACCATCCTTGCTTTGCGGGTAGTGTGCAGCATTACTTTGGGTAATTCATTTACATTCTTCTACATTCGTCTTTCCATTCCTAGAAAGGAATTGGTATTACTATCCCTTCTTCACTTTTCTCACAGTGGTGGCATGAGAATTTCTGACAGAGATAGGATTGAGCTTCTTAAAATAAACACATGGTTCACATGGTTAACATAATGGTTGTCACAGAAAAACAGATGAACAAAGATGAGTGTACTGTGAAATCCTCATAGCAGTGTGCACCCTGTTGGTTTTGTGCATAACAATGGAAGGACACATTTATGAATTATTATTAAAAACAGGTGGTGCCTCAGTTTTGCATACTTAAAAACACCTCAGGTGTGCATTTAATAGGCTAAGTTGATAGGAAACTTACTTCTGGTTCATCCGTTTGACCTCTGCATACACAGACAATAGATTTGCTTTACAGAATGTTTATAAAACTCCTTTCCTGATAATTCAGGTTAGTTTTAGTACTTGTCACCTAGCAAGATGAAGCCTTAATATACTACAAAGGAAAAAGATCCAAGGTTTCTAAAAATCCAGTATAATATTGTAGCATATAAAGGTAGGGATTAATTTACAGGTTGCTCAATATTTAGTGTTACATTTGATTGTTTTTGTGGTTCCAGATAGCAATTATTTCTAATATAATTTATTTTGCAGTGAGGGCCGAGGCAAGTTGACGGTATTTTCAGTTAAAGCTATGTTAGCAACCATGTGTGGTGGAAAAATGCTGGACAAATTAAGATGTAAGTATTTTCATATTACTTGAAAGATTTTGTTATCAAAATAGGACTTTTAAACACTTTTAGGTGAATTTTTCAGAATTTTACATCATGCTGTATTGAACTTTTTGGGTTGTTTCCAGCCATGTCACTCCCTATATAGCAGCTGACTCAGTATGTAAGTATGCCATCTGCTGTTCAGATGGGAAAGTTTGTTGACTTAATCTGTTGTGTTTTTTTTTTTAGTTTAAAGCAAGAAAACGGAAGAAATTTGAAACAGTAATGTTGACATTTAAAAACTTATTTAAAAAATGTTTTCCGTATTACTAAAAATCTTGCTTGAAGGTGATTATGTTGTTTTTAGTTAGAAAATACATTTGATTGCTTTTACCAGGTTTGGTCAAGATTAGCTCTTAATAACTCCATTCTTCATCAGGTGGTATTTGCTGTGATTAAACTGTCACTTAGTATCTTAGAGTCAAGCTCAGTTATTTAGAAATTGATAGCGAGTTTTTCTCAGTTATCTTTCCTAATTTTTTTCTTACTGTTGGCCATTTTGGTATTTTCTTGTTCATTACATACTGTAATGTTAGATGAAATCAAAAGGAGGTGAAATTCACAATTATTTGATTTTTCTGTTTGTGGTTTTCACTTATTCCCTCATTAGATAGTCACTAACTGCCTAAGATATATCAAGCATTGTGCCAGGTGCTTTACATTTCTTACTGCATCTTTAGTTCTTTGAGCATCAGCTGGTATTTTCTTCATTTCATAGGTGAGTCTACTGAGGGGGTGAAGCTGGGATTTCAACTCAGCTGTCAAGTTGCAGCATTCTGTTATAAGCTACTTTGTTGTACTCCATTACACTGGTCCTGTGGTGGGAGGCATATGTGTGATAAAGTACAGTGCTCAAAGTGCCATCATCTGAGTAACCATGGAGTAAGAAGCTGGCAGGTTTCAGGGAGGAGAGAATGAAGCCATGGGTTTTAATCAAGTGTTGTGATAACCTGTGAATTAGTGTGTTGAAGAAACTGGGTTATCTGCCCTGTAGCATTTCTCATGGACTGATTTTGATGATATCATCCCCAGGATGTTCCTCTGTACCCTACATTTTTGCTTTAATTGAAAGATACAGAGGCTAGATTCCTTCATAGGTGCGTTTGTTTTTTGTGCTTTTTCTTAAATGTTACCATCACACAGAGAGGTGGAAAGCTAGATGGCTCTTGGCATGAACTTAGATATTCTAAAGAAAGAGCTTAGAAACTATGTTTGGTCAGCTGTTATCTGACAATTATTATAATTTCAAAATCAGCAGCAATATAAAACAATTTTGGTAGTAAAAATTATAGCTTGGTTTAAATACTCCTCATTTTTTTTCACAGGGTATTGAAAAATGTTAGCTCTTTTTGGTTGAAATTTCTTAATATTTTCTTACTTCTAGCATGATGTTTTTCTGAGGAAGTTAATATAATACAGATGAAATTATATTTCATTGAAACACAAAGAAAAAGTGGGATGTTTGTCTGTTTTCTGATGATGACAACACCAGATAAAGAATACACATTGCCATTGTTAATAGTTCTGAAAAAACTGGTTGAAAACTAGAAAATTGATTATATAACCGCACTTTCTAGATGACTCTGGAATCTTTGTTTCTATGATTAAATCTGCTACATTTACTAGAGCTGGTACCTGGCCCATTGTTAGTGCCAAAATTTTGCCAAATACAAATTGTTGGTTGATGACTAAAATTACTGTAGTTCTCTAATATACCTATTAGTGAAAAATTGCAACTTCTAGTGCTATGTGAAGTACGGAAGGGATATCGGTGATAATATTACTTTTTTTAATGGGGCTTTGAACTTCTTGGAGGAACACAAGTGACTGATATTCAAGTAGCATGCATGCCCAGGCAAGCGTGACATGTCAGTGTGTTGAAAAAGCCAAATCATTGCATGATGTGTATGGATTGATGAGATACAAGCCTCGTTAGGTCACTAATTACCTTGTTATATTATTCAGATAGACTTAAAATATGGTTTACCTTCTTCGTGTTCAAAATTGTAGTTTTTTTTTTACCATCTGTAGTTCTATTATTTTTATTCTACCATAATTATCTTGGCTAGAGAATGAGATATTTAACACAAGTAAAATTTTCAGATATTGAAACCTATCTTCACTTTTTAATTTTAATCATCTAGGGTGGAGATCACTTTATTCTTTTATTGTTTTTATTAGGTATCATTGATATACACTCTTATGAAGGTTTCACAAGAAAAACAGTGAAGATCACTTTAAATGTGGTCTGTGCCTCCTTTGTTAAACAGTTCACTGATCATAATTTAAAGTTTTCATCTCCTAGGGGTATCATTCTGTGATGTGTTTAGGGCTAATTAGGGGCTCTGGGTTGTTTGCCCTTTCTCATATTTTCAAACGATGTGCTTTTTCAGTTCTTGAGCTTTTTGGTGGTAGGGGGTATGGGGTGTATGTGTGTGTGTCCCCTTTATCATTGGTAAATGTGTTGGTATTATTAGTGTACCAGTCTCTAGAAATCTCTTTGCTTCTGATTTACTTTTAAGATGCTACTGACAGAGAAAACATAACCAACCTTTTTAGCGTTGTATTTAAAGTATGGACGTTAAGTGAGCTTATACAATGAGAGAAGCATTTGCTTTGGTGGTATGATTGGTAGTTTTGGCTGTTGTGAGAATCCTTTTCCCCCCGGCTTTCAAGTTCTTGCCTTTGTCCTGCTTAGCCGAGATGGCTGAGTAATAGTGTCGACAGAAGTGAGATATAACACTGTATTGTAACATCAAATGATCCTTGACTGTTTGATCACTTTCTTCTACCTGTTTATTGCATTGTCTTCTTGTTTCATCTCCCTCCCACTGGCCGCGCTCTGTTAGGCGTTGCTTTTAAGTTAGGTTTTCTAGTTTATGGAACATGTCTTAGTGCTTCTTCCTTTAGTTTTATCTTTCTGCTTTTTACCTTTTATTTTTAGAATTCTTTCCTGTAATTTTCTTCCCTCCATCTTTTAAATTTGATTTTTGTTTGTTTGCTTGTTTTAGTGTCAAGATAACATTTGAGATGACTTAAGCAATACTTGTGCTTTTAGTTTGAAATACTTCTTAATTAGATTTTTCAGATCTCTCTGGAGAATTTCTGTCCCCAGGTAACATTCATTTATAGAAATGGTTCAGTGTATTGGCCATTAGGGACTGTACACTAGATTAAAGTTAATTTAGGATAGGATTCTAAATACCAGTGATTTGTAATCAGAACACATACTTTAATTCTGAGCATGGTCAAAACTCAGTAAGTCAGAAACCCAAAATATATCTTAGAGAACAAAATTTATAGACTATAAAGTGTATTTATGAAACCATACTTGTCAATTTATGTGATTTATTTACTACATTTCTGCTGTTTATTTTCTAAGAAATTTAATCTATTCAAACCCTGTCTGTCTTGCATTAAAAGTGGGAGCATATGATTCATGCATTTATTTTAAAATTCTTTAAAAAGCTGGTGCTACCGTTTTGAAGGAGAAAGTGAGTATCAGGAAGGCTATAAAATATTCATGCCCATTGACTTCGTGTACTTCTTGAGTTTTATTCCAGAGGAATTAATCCGAGATGTGTCCCAAATTTTATGTATATTTGTTACAGTACTTTTTCTAATACATAAAAACTTGAAACAGCTGCAGTGTCCAAAAGTGAGAACTCAGTTAAATTTAGGGATATGATTGAATATAACGTTTCCAAACATATGTTTCAGATCAAAATGCATAAATGTAATACAGTTTTAAGCAAAAAATTATTATGTACATAGAGAAAAAAATACCAAAATGATAACAGGTATTTTCTCTAGGTTGTAGCATAACAGTGGTTTTATAATAATAATAATTTACATTATTTATGTTTTCGCATGTTTTTGATAGACCACACTTTGGGTAGCCGGAGAGAAGATGACCTGAGGTGCTGTTTTTTCCCAGACCTGGCAGTTCCCACTGACATTTGAATTGTTTGCTTCCTTGATGTTTCATTAACAGTCATAGAGAGGCTGCCCTTCGAAGTTACAATTAAACAATTTTACCTGTTTAAAATTCAGCCTCCTCTGCTATAGTCTCTTAACCACTTGTCACTGCATGTTTATGCTGGCTGGTTTCTGTTAACCATCCCTTCTCTTCATTAGAGACTATTTAATCTATTTAATCTGCTTAATCTGTTTATTCAGACTGTTTAATCTGAATCATGATACCCACATTTTAATTTCCCATATAACCAAAATGTTCTAGAACTGAAAAGAAGCAAGAGATAAGTCCTAAGTCTGTATTTTTTTGAACAAGAAAAACAAAAACAAAAACCAGGTGAGTCCCAGAGACTTGTCTAAGGTAGTTAGTTCGTGATGAGTCCACCAGACCCGAGGCATGCCGGCTCCCAGCCTCTAGCCTCACTCTGATTTAATGGGTGATGTGGGAATATCCATGAGTTTGGGAATAAAAGATGCATTTGAGTTTTTATAAACATACAGATGTGCATGCATATTTTTTGTGGGTTAGGTTGCTCAGTTGGTAGAAAGATGGCAGGAGTTGAAATTCATTTGCCAAGGAAAGCTAAGGAGTAAAAGGAAATGGCTGTCCATTTATAGATTTGGCGCTACTGTAAACTCTATCGTCTTGCAAAAGTTTATGATTGATCATGTGGGAACAAAAGAGGTGTGGATAGATGGGTAAATGCAATAAGTAAAAACAGGGTCATTATCACCAGAAAAATGTTAAAATATATGTGATGATTGTAGAATAGCAACATTGTTTTTAAAGTGTATACACATATGCATTTAAGGGCTTGATTGACAATTTTTCACAAGGGAGAAAGCCTACATTTTTATCTCGAAATAGCTAATGGAGAATTAGCATACCTTCTTTCAGAGCTATATAAATAATTACTGGGGAAATTAACTAGTGATCTGGGAACTAATTTCGTCCCTTAAATGCCAGAAGGTTTACACCTGTAATTAGAGGACTAGTTAAATTTTTTATTAAATTTTGTCTCTATTTCTTCGTTGAGTTTTTTTTTAACGTGTATAGTAAATCACACTGACTTAGATTCATTGTTACACTTTATTAAAAAAATTAAAAAATTAGATTTTTTAGTTAGATTAAACACTTATTCTATTACTATTTACTATTACAATTACTATTGTAATATGACCCTATTAAGTTATAGTCCTTTCTCAGTGAATTTTTCTAAAGAAAGAATTACTATTTTAAATCTATTATACAACACAGTAATTAAATATAATTGAAAATAATACTTTTTTGAGGGGGGGAGGTTAGTCATTTTACTATCCAGTCACCTCCTTGTATTACTATGAATGAGTTAGGTATAGATTAGTTGGTGTGGCTTATACACATATGCTTTTGTGATTGTGAAGCTATATATGTGTGTGTATTATGTGCTAAAGTCTCTGGTCTTGAATATTTCCACCATTTAGTTAGTGGCTGCAAGTTAATAACTTGGTAGTTTACCAGTTATGAATACATGGAGTAGTAACAGAAAACTGGACTAACAGTGGCTTAAACACATTGGGATTTATTTTTCTCATGTAAAAATAAGTCTAAAGGGCAGTAAGTTCGAAGTTGGTACCATAATCTAAGGCTGTCATGAAAAGACTCAGGTTCCTCCTGGCTTCCTGCTCTGCCATACAGCCTTCCTCCTTATGGTCAAGTGACCGCTGTATGCTAGGCCTCGTGTTCTCATTCCAAGAAGAAACAGATGCCTCTGTGGGGAATGCAAAAGCCTTTCCAGAGACACCCCCGAGTTACAATGTGCAGAGACTGGGAAGTCATTTTCTAAATGGAGCACATTGCCGTTCTAAACACAAGCAGGGTTCAGGTGGTGAGTGAGAAGCGGAAAATCCATATTGAGTAGTAGACACCTTGTGGTGTCTGCCACATCCCCATATTGAACCTTTGTTTTCATTCAGATTTAATGCACGATCATTTTCCTCATTATAAGAATAGCAGCCAGCTATTTAAAAACTAAGTGACTATGCTCTTCCCTCCTTTAGAGGGCATCAGTTTTTCACATGATTGGTAACATTTTCAAAGCTCTATATCTGAAGTCTCAAGCTATGGCCCAGGCCTTGATTTCGAACTGCCCACAGACTGGCTCTCCTTGTAAATTTGCTGATTAGTGTAAATACTGCTAAGTTCAGGACTAAGTATCTTTATCTCCATTTTGTTTATTTCAATCAGGATTGTTAGCATTTTTCCAAGCTAGAAATTTAGAATAATTGTAACTTTTAAAATTCCTTTATTTCCTAATCCAGTTTGCCATCAACTGCCATTTTTCTGCTTTGAAATGTCTCAGACTTGACATTTCCCTCACATACTGTCACTGCTGAAGTTCAGACTCTTACTACCTCATTTGTGCATTATTTGCAAGGTTTTCTAGCTGATGTCTCCAATTCTATTCTTCCTCTTTTATTCATTCTGCTGGTCATCAACAGATCTAATTTTCTTGAAACAGCTTTCTAAATATTTCTTTCCTACTTAAGAGTTTTTAAACCCAGTCTATATTGCTTTCCTCTTTCAAAGTTTTCTTTTGTAACAGATTCTTTTCTTATTCTCTTTATTCCCTTTATTTCTCAGTCTAAATTGTCTTTCGTAGAATGTTGTTTTCAATCCACTGTTTCCTGCTTACCAAGAACAGATAAGCTATAAATTCCCATCCTAGAGTCTTTCATCTGACTCTTCTCTAGTTGCATCCCTAACCCCCACTCCCAAACAATTTTGCCCTCATCATTCCAGATCTTACCTTTCAAGGCTAAACTTCTAAATGTCACTTTTGTGACAATTCTACCTATGTATTTTTATATCTATTCTAAACTATATTTTGAAGAAGTGTAATTGAATTTCTTTGGAGTCAGATAAGTGAACTTAAATCTTGATTTTGCTCCTTTCTTTTAACTTTAAGTAAGTTAACCTTTCTAAGCTAGTTTGCTTAGTTATAAAATTTAAACAATTATGTGCATGCACATGTGTGCACATATATACGTAAGATTAAAATGAGGTAATGTTTAGTGAAGGATAGTAAATAGCACTTAGTATTAGGGATTGTTGCATGAAAACAAAAGTCCAGGATAATAGTGCCTTGAAGTTTTTTTTTCTTACATAAAAAAAGTTTAAGTGTAGTTAGTCGAGGGCTGGTATGGTAGCTTCATGTTCATCTGGGACCTACGCTTTCACTATCTTTCTTTTCTACCATTCTAGCTCATGATTTCTACATTAAAGTTGGGATTGCCACATAGTCCAAGGTGGTTGCTGGAGCTCCAGCTATCAGAGCCACATTCTATATAGCAAAAGGAGGAAGGGAATGAGGAGATAAGGGCCTACTCTGCAGCTTAGTCATCTTTTTTTAACCAGTCTTCCTGGAAGTCCCTAATGACCCTTCTGCTTATAGTCTCACTGGCCAGCACTTAGTCACATTCCACAACTTGCTAAAAAGAAGCTGCACAATTTAATTCTTAGTTAAGTACATTGCTACACAAAATTACATTAGTGTTAGGAAAAAGAGGATAATGAATTTTGGGTAGCTATAGGCAGATTTAGCCTAACATAGTTACATTGTGGTGTCTGGCAAATAGGTTTAACAAGTATGTTTATACCTCTATTCTTTCTGTTCTTTTTAGAGTCAGTTTAGCACTTAATTCTTCTTTGCTTCATATATATCTTATTTTTCCAGTTACACTGAAAGTTTTGGGGGAATAAGGACAATGTGTCATACATCTGTTTCAAAACACCTAGCAGAGTGCTTGGCACTTGGACCACGTAGTAGGAACTTAGTGTGTTTTGGTTAATTAATTGATTTTACTTTCCAGTAGGACCAGACTTCTTTTAGCCTCTTATCGGATCTGGTGGGTATTTAATACTTTTCCTTCAACTGCAAACTGGCAGGTATGGTATGAGCATACATTGTAGATTTTCATTCCTTTGATAATTCCCTGTTTTCTAATGGCTTAAAACTCTGTGGGGTTGATACTCTAACATTTTATTTTCCTTTGATTAATTTATTTAAAATGTTTTCTCTATTTCTATACCTAGTGCTTCAGGATAAGTATCCCAAATTGAACCTAAATAATAATGTATATATGTACATTATATATATCTGTTATGTATATATCTCTAATATACCTGTTCATTATGAATATATAGAATATAACTTTTCAAAATGCCATCTTTGGAAAGGTCTCAGGAAATGATTTTTCTGTGTATAATTTAACTCAGTGATTTGTTTACAAGAAAGCTCAATAGCTTAGAAAAAAGCTTGGGTCACATTTCTTTGTCATGTTGTTTTGAGCTTATAGTTATTTTTCTTTTTCTCCCCAGTGGATGAGAAGAGAGGAATAATTAACTAGAGTTAGGAAATTCTCTCCAAGATAAAGAAATAATAGTATTACTGAAAACTTCTTTCCCATCTGCTTGGGTCAGGCTTTACGTAAAAATAGGATATTACAGTTTCAAAGTATCTTGGGATAGAAATGATTATATAAATTCTTTATATTCTCTACTTTAGAACTCACTAAGTGGAATATCTTAAATGTGCTCTATATTTCCTTCATATTTATTCCTTCACAGGTATACATTAACTCATTAGCTTATGAATATACAAATATAATAGTTTCTTTCATACCCCACCACAAATAGGCTAATATATTCATACGCTCAAGCATGCATATGTGTGTAAACACATACATAAAGGCTGAAAGATATAAAGATATGCTGCTACAAATTCTTCTTGGAAAAAAGTGAGGTATATATATATATATATAAATAAAATAAAAGTTATATATCCTCTAGTTATGCACTCAAAAAGATTAGGTAGATAGACATACATGAATGGTTATTTGATTTGGTTTAGGTAGAAGTTGGTGGAGAGAGGGGCCTGGTCAACAAAATGACCACACAATGTTATTAAGAATAAGAATACATATTAACTAGAAATATTAACAATTTTTTGATACCTTTTAATGATACTCTCTGACTGGTATATAAATGACATAGTCATTTATGAAAAGTTGGTATTTCTTTCTAGTTTGACTTTATTTGGTTTTGTTCTCATAGATGTTTTCTCCCAGATGTCAGATTCCAATGGCTTAATGATATTTAGCAAGTTTGACCAGTTTCTGAAGGAAGTTCTGAAGCTCCCAACAGCTGTCTTTGAAGGGCCATCTTTTGGTTACACAGAGCATTCAGTCCGCACCTGTTTTCCACAGCAGGTAAGGACAGTTTTGTAGAATCTAGGACTAGAAGAGCGCTCATCCATCCTTCCAGCTTTCACCAGATTTCATCAGATTGCTTCCAGTCTAGGGAGGTCCTAAGTAGCGGACGAAAAGGAACTTTAAGTGGGAGGGGTGCAGAAAAGGGAGGATGAAAAGTGCACCTGAAAATTTTTTTGAAAAATGCTAATATTTGAAATATTTCAAGTTACTAAAATTTTAAAGAAAAATGTCGAAGATAAAGTTTATATTATTGCTGCCAGATGTATATTACTCTCCTAAATGAGTAATATATTATTTTTGAAATAATGCTGATATTTGAAATATTTCAAGTTGCTAAAATTTTAAAGAAAAATGTCAAAGATAAAGTTTATATTATTGCTGCCAGATGTATATTACTCTCCTAAATGAGTTCTTTAAACTGTAAAATATGGGAATTTTGATATAAAACTCTATATAACACTGGATCATTATTTTCTGAGCACTGGAGACAAGGAATGCTATATAACTTTCAGCTGCCAGTTCAGAACCCCTCAAGCGACACTGCTGTTTTCACATGGAAGAAGGATGGTCTTGGTTTCCTCTTCATTTGTGGGAGTCCGTTTGTGGTCCTGCCCTAGAGGTTATGTGAGTGCATTCCTGAGATTTTAACTGCCTTGAAGGACTCGGAGCAGAGTGGATGGAGGCTGGAGCATTTATTCAAGTCAAGATGAGATAAAAGGAGCTTCATGCTAAACTTAAAAAGTTTGGGAAATCAGGGAATTTTAAAAAATCTATATTACAACTGAGGAAAAGATTAATGGAAGTAGGAGATTGACATATTCTACAACTATTTCCCCATAAGATGTTTTTTAATTGCAAAAGAAACATAGTAACTTTTCAGTAGAGAAATCTGTCAGATCCACATTAACCAAGTGATTAAAGTCTATATCACCAATAGAGATGGATTGTTCTCCCTGCCTCCTGATAGGGTGCCTGGAGAAGTACCCAGTGTCGCTGCTGTGGTGCTCCTGCCAGGAAAGTATAACCTGGGTCTCTTCTTGCGGAAACATCCAACAAACCCAAATGAAGGGTTTCTACAAAATAACTGGCCTGTATGTGTTAAAGATGTCAATGTCATGAAGGACAGAAAAAGACTGAAGAACTGTTGCAGATTCCAGGTGTCTAAAGAGATAGGAACATGGAATACAATTCATGATCCAGGATTTTCTTTTGTTATAAAGGACATTATTGGGGCAATTGAAAAAAAATCTAAGTAAATCTTATAGACTAGATAGTATTGTCATGAATGTTAATTTTCTGATGTTGATATTTGTATTAAATTATGTAAGAATACCCTGGTTTTTAAGAAATATATTCTGAGGTATTTAAGGGTAAAGCGGCATCTCTTCAGCAGTGTTAACATTTGAGGAATCTGGGTTAAATGTAAGTGGAAATTTTTTAGTAATCTTACAACCTTTCTGTAAGACTGAAATTATGTAAAAATAAAAAGTTAAAATATAAAAGAAACGAATCTAAAGGTTTGCAAATTGAAAGTACATTTTAAACTAGATCCTCCTGGCCTGTGAGGCTTTGATATATAAAAGAACTGAAACAAACACATTCCTTTTTACATTTAAAGTTAGGAGTTCATGTTTATCTAAATTCAGACTTACAAACAATATTGTATAATTTGTTTAGATATTACTCTTCAGCACAACAGGTGGCACCCATAATGCTAGAGAGTTATTTTTAGTAAGTCCTGAGGAGATGTTCTTCCCAAATTTGTACACACTTTGGCTGATTGTTTTTGTGGAAATTAGCCTCTATACATTATTTATTTTTCCTCTCAGCATAAACAGCAATATCAGCTTTTAGCATATTAAAAATAGCTCTGTGCTTCAGTTTATTCTAATAAAGGATAGTTTGCATTTTTCTCCCTGAATATGCTTTTTCAAATGATACGAGGCTGTGCAAACACATCCTGGTACAAGAAGGTCCTGCACGAATTAAAGTGTTTGCGGCCAGAAAAGTGAGAAGAGTATGAAGAAGAAACTACCAACACTTGATTTACTCACTGCTGCTGTTTCCTTGGTGCTACCATCACATCAAATTGTTGTCCCCACAATAATCTTGCCTATGAGTACACATGGCTTTTCACATAAGATGATTCCTGGAGGTCAGGCTAAAAACTGATCAAGTTCTGGAATGCTCTGTTAAGTAAAGTAGTGTCAGAATGGAGAAGGGAATTTACACAAAGAAGCATCAGCGAAGAACAGCCTCTGAACAGTGGATGACAGGTGGGTTGGTACTAACCCTGAAGTCATACTGTAGTGTGAGGACCATAATGAGAACCTAATATTGGAATCGCAGTTTAAAATGTTGAAGAATATACAAAAAATTTCTAATTGTTAATCCTAAGAAGGCTGTCTAGGATCCTACAAATTACTTTATGCCATTGTTATGTGGCCTGTGAACTCAGCCTGATAACTTCTTCTCACCTGCTGCAGATTCCTATAAGAAATTCAGTCAGTCTATTTTGATGTAAGTCAAATTTGGAAATGTCAGAGAGATTTATCAGTCTGGAGGAAATGAGTTTTCTTTGGTCTACAAAAATGACAAAAAGAAGCCTCAAAGGAAATAAGAAGCTGTAGGTAGGATGCACACCAAACTCAGGCATTGGACAAAGTTTCAGGCAGGAATTAAACTCAATGAGTTTTGGGTTTCTTTTTGAAAATGGACTTTTCCCATGCAGTTTGCTTTCCTACACGTGTGTTTCCGTAACGCAAGTTAGTTCATTCATCCTCAGAGAGAGAACACTGTCAATGTAGAGTGGCAGTTGTGTCATTGGTTCATACAGTTTTCCCTGGCATAGTAATGTTCTGGGTTAAGCAAAGAAGTGATCACAATTAGAATATGACTATCTGAAGGAGCTGAAAATCCTGCAGAAGTACCTCCCGTTAGTGAGAGACGTGGCAGGTTTGGATTTGTGAGCTGCTCCACTTTCTATGGTGTTATGGCATTGAAGCTTGGGGTGTGGATAAATAAGCTGTAAGTCATTCCCCACCACCATCTGCGCTAAAAAAAATTGATTGATGAAGTTAGCTGTCCCCTAGATCTAGTATTCAGTTTTGATAAACTGATCTGTCTTGGGAGTTGTATGTCCTGATCATGAAGAAGGAAAAAAGTGTTTCAGGAGTAAGGCTGAAAGTTACAGTCCAACAGGGGCACTTGGTGGAAAGGTCAGTAGAGATTTAATTTTGCTGGTACTTTTATTAGTATTTCCATTGCTTTGTGAGTCCTCTGTTTACAAGGCTGTATAGATTTTAGGTTTGTTCCAATCCTATTTTTCTCATATTCCTTATTGTTTTTAAGATTGCAGTATGTACAGTTTTCCAGTTATGTATGTGTTACATTACAGGAGAAATATGATATGAAGAGAATTACTTATCTGTTTAATAGTTTTCTTTTCTAAAAAACAATTTTGCCTGCTTTTCACAAACAAACCCAAAAGAAGGGATATGGACTTGTATATTTTAATAGTTTTAAAGCCACAGAAAAATTAAAAGCATTTATAAGTTAATAGAACACATTTACCAGAATAGCTAAAATTCAATAACTTACACCATATGTTGGTGAAGATTTGGGGTAACTGGAACTCTCATACAAGCCACTTTGGAGGAAGCCCTGGTTGTTTCTTATAAACTTAAACAGACACCTACCCATGACCTGGCAAATCTACTCCTAAGTTTTTCCCATGTGAAATACTGACTTACGTTGACAAGAAGTGAGATGCTTGTATCAGTCTCAGAAGCATCTGAGGTGTCCATAGTAATAAAACATCAGGGTAAAGTTAATTCAAGTGATAAATTATCTGGAATCTTTTTTTCAAGATAATCCAGATTGGAGGGTAAGTGAAGGCATAAACAAAACTAGTTGTATGTTGAGAATTGTTGAAGCTGGATGATAGACATTATTATATTATTCCCTCTACTTTGACATATTTTTAAAAAATATACAAAAATTAATTCTAGTTGTAAATTTGTGATTGTGATTATTTTCTGGATAAAGCGCAGTGTAAACGTAGTACCTCAAGCCTAATATTTGGTCGATAGGCCACATATATGAAGATTCTTCAATGTTTATAAACTAACAAACTGACTTTAGAGACCTAAAAGTTAAAAAAAAAACAAGCAGTGAGTGTATTGAAATTTCTCTGAACTTCAAGGTTTTGAGATGTGTTATATCCTCCCTAGAAAGATGATTGCTATTTGTTTTATTATTGATTTCCTAGGTTCATAGTGACTTTAGTTTGAAGAGTTCAGGCTACCTTGCAGAGGATTTGAAATTTGATGCCCGTCTTTATGAAAGGGAAACCTGAATAACCTGGAGAGTGAGATAGGAAAGTAGTACATGATTGCATGATCACTAGCAGGCAGAATATTTCATGCCTGGAGACATTCTCTGATCATATATTGACCAACATACCATCTTCTGCTGTATGCCAAAATGACTTTTCTTCCCACTGTATCTTTGAAATGGAGACATTTCCTGGATGTTCTGACCATGTTTTCCAGGATCATTGAATAAAGTTTGGCAAGAATTGCGTGGCATGTGTATATGTGTATTTCATAGGTAATCTAATTAAGCAGATTTTATAGTCTCCATTAGTGGTCCCACGTTCCCATTGCTCTCTAGTGTTATTACCATGTTTTATTGATTTGGAGACACTTTTTCACACCTTAGCACTTCTGATCTCTAGATACCTCATAGAACCAATGGCATCTTCGAATGGCAGTTGACCAGGCAGCAGCTATGATGAGTTGTCATTTCAAATGTCCATGGAGAGTAAACTCTGGTCATTAAACAAAGTTATTATAAGCACAGAAATCTGTGGACACAGCAGAGGGGAATAAATGTGATATTGGTGAGATAACTATGCATCATTGGAGGAATTCCATATTTTTTTTACAAAGCAACAACCAGGTACTTCATGGAGCATTTTCTTTTTCTTAAAGGAA